AGAAAGAGGTTTGGTAATAAGTAATACATATTTTATGAAAAAGAGGATAAATAAATATACAAATATGAAAGTAGTTTGTTAGATTATATATTGGTGGATAAAAGGTTGATGGGTAGGCTTCAGGATGTACGTGTTTATAGAGGGGCAACTGATATATCGGATCATTATTTTGTTGTAGCTACAGTTAGAGTAAGAGGTAGATGGGACAAAAGGAAAATGGCAGCAACAAGTAAGAGAGAGGTGAAAGTGTATAAACTAAGGGAGGAAGAAGTTCGGGTGAGATACGTATAAGCAACTATTGGCAGAAAGGTGGGCTAGTGCAAGTATGAGTAGTGGGGTGGTTGAAGAGGGTTTGAATAGTTTTAAAAATGCAGTATTAGAATGTGGGGCAGAAGTTTGTGGCTATAGGAGGGTGGGTGCAGGAGGAAAGAGGAGTGATTGGTGGAATGATGAAGTAAAGGGTGTTATAAAAGAGAAGATGGTAGCTTATGAGAGATTTTTACACAGCAGAATTGTTATAAGAAGAACAGAGTATATGGAGAGCAAAAGAAAGGTGAAGAGAGTGGTGAGAGAGTGTAAAAGGAGAGCAAATGGTAGAGTTGGAGAGGCACTGTCAAGAAATTTTGATGAAAATAAGAAAAAATTTTGGAGTGAGATAAACAAGTTAAGAAAACCTAGGGAATGAATGGATTTGTCAGTTAAAAACAGAGTAGGGGAGTTAGTAGATGGGGAGATGGAGGTATTGGGTAGATGGCGGGAATATTTTGAGGAACTTTTAAATGTCGACGAAGAAAGGGAGGCGGTAATTTCATGCATTGGCAAGGGAGGTATACCATCTTTTAGGAGTGAAGAAGAGCAGGATGTGAGTGGGGGAGGAGGTGTGTGAGGCATTATGTAGAATGAAAGGGGGTAAAGCAGCTAGAACTGATGGGATCATGACAGAAATGTTAAAAGCAGGGGGGGGGGGATATAGTGTTGGAGTGGTTGGTATTTTTGTTTAATAAATGTATGAAAGAAGAGAAGGTACCTAGGGATAGGCAGAGAGCATGTATAATTCCTTTATATAAAGGGAGGGGGGGCAAAAGAGATCGTAAAAATTATAGAGGAATAAGTTTACTGAGTATAGTACCAGGAAAAGTGTATGGTAGGGTTATTGAAAGAATTAGAGGCAAGACAGACTGTAAGATGCAGATGAGCAAGGAGGTTTTAGAGTGGGTAGGGGATGTGTAGATCAAGTGTTTACATTGAAGCATATATGTGAACATTATTTAGATAAAGGTAGGGAAGTTTTCATTGCATTTATGGATTTAGAAAAGGCATATAATAGAGTGGATAGGGGAGCAATGTGGCAGATGTTGCAAGTATATGGAATAGGTAGTAAGTTACTAAATGCTGTAAAGAGTTTTTATGAGGATAGTGAGGCTCAGGTTAGGGTGTGTAGAAGAGAGGGAGACTACTTCCCATTAAAGGTGGGTCTTAGACAGGGTAGTGTAATGTCACCATTGTTGTTTAATGTATTTAGATGGGGTTGTAAAAGAGGTAAATGCTAGGGTGTTCGGGAGAGGGGTGGGATTAAATTATGGGGAATCAAATACAAAATGACAATTGACACAGTTACTTTTTGCTGATGATACTGTGCTTATGGGAGATTATAAAGAAAAGTTGCAAAGGTTAGTGGATGAGTTTGGGAGAGTATGTAAAGGTAGAAAGTTGAAAGTGAGCATAGAAAAGAGTAAGGTGATGAGGGTATCAAATGATTTAGATAAAGAAAAATTGGATATCAAATTGGGGAGGAGGAGTATGGAAGAAGTGAATGTTTTCAGATATTTGGTAGTTGACATGTCAGCGGATGGATGTATGAAGGATGAGATTAACCATAGAATTGATGAGGGAAAAAAGGTGAGTGGTGCATTGAAGTATATGTGGAGACAAAAAACATTATCTATGGAGGTAAAGAAGGGAATGTATGAAAGTACAGTGGTACCAACACTCTTATATGGGTGTGAAGCTTGTTTTGTAAATGCTGCAGCGAGGAGGCTGTTGGAGGCGGAGGAGATGTCCTGTCTAAGAGCAGTGTGTGGTGTAAATACTATGCAGAGAATTCAGAGTGTGGAAAAAAGGAGGTGGGAAATTAGTCAGAGGGCTGAATAGGGGTTGTTGAGGTGGTTTGGTCATTTATAGAGAATGGATCAAAGTAGAATGCCATGGAGAGCATATAAATCTGTTGGGGAAGGAAGGCGGGGTAGGGGTTGTCCTCAAAAAGGTTGGAGGGTGGGGGTAAAGGAGGTTTTGTGGGCAAAAGGCTTGGACTTCCAGCAAGCATGTGTGAGCGTGTTAGATAGGTGTGAATGGAGACGAATGGTATTTGGGACCTGACGAGGTGTTGGAGTGTGAGCAGGGTAATATTTAGTGAAGGGATTCAGGGAAATCGATTATTTATATATAGCTGGACTTGAGTACTGGAAATGGAAAGTACAATGCCTGCACTTTAAAGTAGGGGTTTGGGATATTGCCAGTTTGGAGGGATAAGTTGTGTTTCTTTATATATATATGCTTCTAAACTGTTGTGTTCTGGGCACCTCTGCAAAACAGTGATTATGTATGAGTGAGATGAAAGTGTTGAATGATGATGAAAGTATTTACTTTTTGGGGATTTTCTTTTTGGGTCACCCTGCCTTGATGGGAGATGGCCAACTTGTTAAAAAAATAATAATAATATCTTTATTTACTACAAGTACATGTACATACATGGTATACAGGCCTAGCTGACATCAGTGACATACTACTATATAGAAAGCCCCTTGTTATGCTAAGCATTTCAGGTATATTAGGTCAGTGTCCCAGGATAAGACCCACACCAATCCACTAACACCTGGGTACCCATTTACTGATGGGTGAACATAGACAACAGGTGTAAAGAAACATGCCTAATGTTTCTACCCTGGCTGGGAATAGAATATTTACCAAAAGTCACATATGGCAAACCCAAGCCAGGTATGTACTAGAAATAAGCCACTTTGTCTGACATTTTTGGGTTATCCTAGGTTCTCTATACATATGCTGCTATGTATGATAATCTATATAGAGAAAATATCCTTTTTGTTTCAGTTTTATGGTGAAGTATGATTGTATATCACAGTTAGCCATGTTCTATACTCCGTTTTGTCTAATATAAGCCCCCAAGATAGGGATAGGAGAATGGTACTTGTATCCTGTATCCTCTTCATGCCTCTGTCAAACCGCTCGGTATTACGCCAAATATTATTAATTCTAGACTATTTAACATGTTTTTATGTTATTTTTATTGTTTATTATGTCATATTAGATCAGTTGTGATAGGCAAATAACCTGTAGTGTTGATATTAGCATAATAATAAAGCATATTCCCCTGCCTGGTCTCAGACCGGGCCGCGGGGGCGTTGACCCCCGGAACTCTCTCCAGGTAAACTCCAGGTAAACTCCAGGCATCATGAGACTGAGCTCATGGCAACCGACAGTGGCTTCAAAGCCACCTTATCTTTTATGGACAATGTACTGTGTATGTGCTTTACACAATGAGAAGCACTTCTTTTATTTGTTGGAACCATGGCTAGGGCTAAAAGTAAGCTGGTTATAACAATAAATGGAGAAAAAGAAATTGGAATGACTTATGCAGCAAGTAGTGCCACCAAACAGTACAGCAGGTTGGTGTGGCGACCCTGGAAATTTGAAATTGTGCTAACTGAAATTAGTGCCGGGTAACTGATTGCTGGATTTGTGATGGCGGACCTGTAGTGAGTTTGTGTCAGCCATCTTTGAATTGTTGTAATGTACCTTTGCACCATTTATAACATTATGTTTTTAAATGTTTATACAGTAGTGTACTGTATATTGAAATAAACAGAATAGAGGAAATCAGCTCTAATATACATTATTTAGGTATGAATACTGGTCAGAGAGCCTGTTGTAAGCTCAAGGCATTGGTAAACAAGTACGTTGCTAAGTGTGGAGAGGCTGTATTACTTTAATATAAACATTTTCATGAATCCATCTATGATATTTTTTCAAAATTACATAAACATACTACATAACGTATAAACGTGATAAATACATACAGTAAAATAAATTAACATAAATATGAGATGTTAGGTGTAGATGAACGTGTATCCACCAAAACCAGACGCGTTCATCTGCTTGTTTACATACTCCGTGTTTCTCTCCTCTCTCAGTTACTTGTTTTCTCTCGTTTATTCCTTTTACCTCGTTTACTCACCTCTCATCCTACATTAAGACTACAAATATTTTAAGGTAAGTAATGGGTGTACTGTACAGCCTCTCCTCACTTAACGACAGAGTTCCATTTCTAAGACCAGGTCATTCATCGCTAAGTGAAGAGCATACAGTAATGGTAATGGACTTGTGTCAACCATCTCTGATATTGTTTTAATGTCACCTTTGCACCATTTATAACATTTCTAGTATATTTTTAAATGTTTATACAGTAGTTTATTGTATATTGAAATAAACAGAATAGAGGAAATCAGCTCTAATATACATTATTTATGTATAAATACTGGTCAGAGAGCCCATCATAAGTCCAAGGCATCGGTAAACGAATACGTAGCTAAGTGAGGAGAGGCTAAATATGCATTTTATTGCTCTGGGGTGCTTTAAATGTATTTGTATATTATGTGTGGGTGGGGTGGCCTGGCTGGCTACCATACCTCCCACACCTGACTTCCTACAATAAATACTACTCACCTCTCACCCTACTTTAACACTGCAAATATTTTAAGGTAAGTAATGAGTGTGCTGTGTGTTTTACTTTTTATTGTTTTTAATGCCTAGTTCTATTGCTAACTTAATATATGTTAGCATAAACTTGTTATCTGGCATTTATATGCATTTATAGGTGGAAAAAATGGCATTCTGCTTTCCGGAGGTAGCCTGGAACCTAACCTGCCATATAAGTGGGGCCGTACTGTATTTAAATTAAGCATCTTCATAAATGTTATTATTAGATACAAGTGGACACAGCCTTGAGGCTTTGCGTGAAGAGTTGACAGAATTATCTACAAACTTGCGTGAGGAACGCTGGTACTCAGAGGAGCTGAAAAAAGAAGTTGAAAGACTGCAAGATGCCTTCAAGAAAAAGGATGGAGGGGAAGACAGTTTTGTGCATAAGGTACATACTTTTATTACTGAGTCATGGAATACATTATTTATAATTGCAATTTAAGTGGTCTGTTTAGTGTTTCATTTACAATGCATTCAGGTATTTTGAAAAGGCTGAATAACTTTTGTCTTTGGTTATATATGCAAATCTGTTAACAGTTGCAATTGTTCTTTTCCTCTAGTCTCAGTTAGATGCTGTTGAGGAATCTAAAATGTTGCTAACATCAGAAGTTGTGTTGTTACGGAAGCAATTAGCAGAATCTATAGAACTTAACAGTAGCCTGCGCTCTGAGAAAGACATGCTGGAGTGTCGTGCTTCAGAGTTTGCAGTGGAACGGGCGGAACTGCGTGCAACTTTAGATACCCTTCAAGCTGAAAAAGTAAGCTGTTGTAATAAATATATGTATTGTATATAAAGTGCATGAAGATTTTTGTGATTAGACCCTTGAAGTTCTTATTAATGCTTTCCCTTCAGAACTAGGAATAGCTAATCCACTAAATAACAAGGCTTATTTATGAAGCTGTTATCTGCATCATATATAATGTCTCATTTTGTTTGTTTTGTTAGAATTTTTCAAAGTGCATCCCTTACCATGCACATTTCTTATTCAGTTGCCTGCATTTTGTATGATTTTATCATTAATCTTAAATACATGTAGCTTCATGCATTCTAGACATTAGCATTTTTTGTGACTAATAATAATAATAATAATAATGTTGTGTATCTTTATATGTGTATGCTTCTAGACTGTTGTATTCTGAGCACCTCTGCAAAAACAGTGATAATGTGCGAGTGTGGTGAAAGTGTTGAATGATGATGAAAGTATTTTCTTTTTGGGGATTTTCTTTCTTTTTTGGGTCACCCTGCCTCGGTGGGAGACGGCCGACTTGTTGAAAAAAAAAAAAAAAAAAAAAAAAAAAAAAAAAAAATAATAATAATAATAAAAAATAATAATAATAATAATAAAAATAATAATTCAATCATACCTCATTGCCACTTTTTCAGACATGTTACTTTGCTACATTATTTTGTATTTCCATCATCACTTACCTGTTAAGCTGAAGCTTCATACATATACCAGTATCTGTTACCTTAGCAATTCACTCTTCACATTTTCAGTGACAGTACTTTCTCTTTCTCTCATATATCCTTTACTATTATTCATTGTCTCAATTCTTAATGGGATTTATACCAGCAGTAGTTACATTTGTACATATAAGTTTAAATAATTCATCTGGTGAATATGACAGTAAAGTCAATAATTAGTTCAATTACTAATTCGTAAAACAGGTTGGCCTTGAGTCAGAGCTGCATGAGATAAGATCAAATCGTATGAATCAAGAGAGTGTAGAGCAAGTTGAGGCTCATCAGATGCAGCAAGACATTGCCAAGTTACATGAACAGTTGGTAGCTAAAGAGAAAGAGGTCAGTCAGTCAACTTTTCCTACGTGATTTTTTTTGTTATTCTTTCCAATACTGGAAAAAGAAGTATTGTTTAATTAAAGGTAAAGTGTCTATTCATCTTTTTAAGAAAAAATATATCTACTGTAGGCAAACTCAGGCACTGAACATGGGAATTAAAGATGTTAGTTTTTCATATGGGTTCTCTTAGAAATCCAATAGAAATCCAAGAAAATATAAGTAAGTATGTTCATGTGACGAGGAATGAGTAGTTTTCTTTTAAACACATTAGCTGTTTCCCATCATAACAGAGTATGTACCTTTGTTAATCTCTGTAAATGTCAAACAAAAGTTTGATTACTAAGAAGGCATTTAGAAATACTATATTTGTTGGTCAAAGTAAATGAAGTACTGTTGTGTATATACTGATATATGTACTAACATATATTTCCTCTATGGTTAGTCCAGTTTATTGATAAGTACAAACCAATATATTGATAAGTACTGTATTTTCTTGTGGAATGTGCAACTGTATTTTCTAATGCTGTTTTGGTTACGTGATGGAATGCTTAATGTTTTGGAATATTGAGATATTATTTCAAGAGAAGATCCAGCTTTCATTTAAGAGAGGCTATAACTACCAGTAGATTTACAGTAAGATCAACAACACTGTGAATAAGACATGTGTAACACCTGAAGAGAGTGAACAGATATTTTATTCACCAGAGGCTTTATCCATATATTGAATTATAAATCCCTTGGTTGATGAAAATTATCTTGAGTGAAGTACCTGGGTGTTGAATATCAGTCTTATTTACCATAAAGACAAGCTGCTGCTTTTCAAGGTTGAATATTACTGCAGTTTTTCATTTTTTTCCATTTAAATAAAGAAATAGTTACTCTTTATGAGACTGAATTGCTCTCTGTTTACAAATATTTTAGAAAGAAGTACAGTATTGTGTTTTTATTTGCACGACAGTATATTTCAGAGCAAGGGTATGCAATGTTTAAGAAATGCCATTTGAACTTTTGCATCACATTGGCATTTTCCACAAAGACAAGGTGACCCAAAGAATGAAGCACATTTCTCATTCAATAGCTGTCTTTCAAAAATACATAAGCATTACAATTAAAACGATCCACCAAATTGATTCCCACCAATGTGATTCCCACCTCCAGAGTTCATGTCAGGCTGGAAGAAAGGACCATACTATTTTCTCCTCAGTTACTGTTAAAAACAGAGAGGGAAGCAGTGATTTCATTCATTGACCAGGAAGGTATAACATCTTTTAGGAATGAAGAAGTTCTGGATGTGAGTGTGGGGGAGGTGCATGAAGCATGGGTAGAATGAAAGGGGGTAAAGCAGCAGGAACTGATGGGATCATAACAGAAATTTTAATAGCAGGGGGGAATATAGTTTTGGGGTGGTTGGTACTTTTGTTCAGTAAATGTATGAAAGAGGGGAAGGTACCTAGGGATTGGCAGAGAACTTGTATAATTCCTTTATATAAAGGGAAGGGGACAAAAGAGAGTTTAAGAATTATAGGATAATAAGCCTACTGAATATACCTGGTAAAGTATATTGTAGGGTTACTATTGAAAGAATTAGAGATAAGATGGAGAGCAGGATCGCAGATGAACAAAGAGGCTTTAGAATGGGTAGGGGATGTGTAGACCAAGTGTTTCAATTGAAGCATGTAAGTGAACAAAATTTAGATAAAGGTTGGGAAGTTTTTGTTGCTTTTATGGATTTAGAAAAGGCTTATGATAGGATGGATAGAGGAGCAATGTGGCAGATGTTGCAAGTGTATGGAATAGGTGGTAAGTTACTAAATGCTGTAAAGAGCTTTTATGAGGATAACAAGAGCCGGCTCAGCTTAGGGTGTGTAGGAAGAGAGGGAGATTACTTCTCAGTAAAAGTAGGTCTTAGACATAGATGCATAATGTCACCGTGATTGTTTAACATATTTATAGATGGGGTTGTAAAAGAAGTAAATGCTAGGGTGTTGGGGAGAGGGGTGGGATTGAATTATGAGGATTCAAGTACAAAATGGGAATTAACACAGTTACTTTTTGCTGATGATACTATGCTTTTGGGAGATTCTGAAAAGTTGCAAAGGTTAGTGGATGAGTTTGGGAGGGTATATAAAGGAAGAAAGATGAAAGTGAACATAGGTAAGAGTAAGGTGATGAGAGTATCAAACAATTTAGATAAGGAAAAATTGGATATCAGACTGGAGGGAAGGAGTATGAGGAAGTGAATGGGTTCAGATGTTTGGGAGTAGACTTGTCAGTGGATGGGTTTATGAAAGACAAGGAAAACCATAGAATTGATGAAGAGAAAAAAAATGAGTGAGTGGACAAGAATGGTTTTGGAATTTGACGAGCTGTTGTAGTGTGAGCATGGTAATATTTTGTGAAGGGATTCAGGGAAACCGGTCAACTGGACAAGAATCCTGGAGGTTTGAAGTGCAGTGCCTGCTTTTAACCTTTGACTGTCACAAGCCCATTTCTGAAACTGTCATTCTATGTATCAAACTTTTCGAAAGAAAAAGAAATTATTTTTTCTTGTGAAATGATAGAGAATCTTTTTCTGATTCTAATGACACCAAAACTATGAAATTTGGTGGAAAACTTACAGAATTACGCTCTTGCAAAGTTAGCGATCTTAGCGATAGTTACACATTGGTGATTTCGCCAACTTTGAGCCCTATTTTCGGCGAATTCCATTGTTCCAGTCGGCGAAACTCATAGTTATTTCTTTAGAACTCCATTTGTTCTATCGATTGAGTACAAGAAACTGCCCATTTACCGATTTCAACTACCCAATAAAGTGGTCAGAACTTGGCAATTTTGCCAATTTCATGCAAATTAAAAAAGATTCTAATTTCAAAATAGGGTTCAGAATAAAAACTACACACATTCCTGGCACTAAAATAACATTTCCTCTGTTCATTAGTCATGTCTCCAGGCTCCCCTTATATTACTCTTGCTTTCTATTTTGATTTTTTACTCACACAATAAATAGAAGATTTACTGTAATGTAGACTACTACTTTATTGTAAAAATGGTATAAATAATATCAGTGCACTTGTGAAAGAATATTAGACTCGCCAGTTGACGTGTATTGGACGCGTGGCGTGATTTCTTTGCTCTTGAACATTGGCAAAAGTCAAACTTTTCCGCTTCTTTGAGCTCATTTTCAAGGTCGTTTTCATAGTGAAACTAATCAAAATCATCTCTATATCTGTAATGTTTTCCATTCTATCAAATGAGACCAAGAAAAACGAGAATACATCCATAAATACTATACGAAAATACACCTCAAAGTCAGTGTTTTAATTCAGAAACACAGTTGGAGTTTTTTTTTTTCTCGTGAACTGCATGCTGCAGGATTTTTTTTTATACAGCGCACACTAACCACACAAACCCATTCTCTCACATGTGGGCCTACCATCTTTCTCCCGCTTGATTTAAAGCTGCTAGAATTTTTGAGTGTACATACGTCCGAAAACACTGGCTCGTAAGACGTACATATATGGCCAAAACAGTCAAAGAGTTAAAGGAGGGGTTTGGGATATTTGCTATTTGGAGTGACATCTGAATTGTCATATCTGTGCACCTCTGCAAAGACAGTGATTATGTGTTAATGAGGGTGAAAGTGTTTCTTTCATTTTTGGGTCACTCTGCCTCAGTGGGAGACAGCCAGCATGTTGAAAAAAAAGGTAAATATAAATATTTGCTTTAGTGTTTTATTATTTTCATGTGAAAATATATGAGACATCTACTGAGCTGATCCTGCCTTGGGAATAACTTTGAAGTATATAGCTCTTTAATACTTTATGTACAATCACACATTTACTATTCTGCCATATACCCCCTGGAGGGTATATGGCCACAATTATCCCTTCAGGGGAAGGGGTGCCTTATGCTGGTGAAGGCCTCCTTATCCATGGAATTTGAGCTTCCCTGCCTTTCTTGGATCAAACCTGATTGCCCCATTTCCTTGGCTCTGCATGACCTCTAAGGGGTTTGGTGCTGTCCCATGAGTGCAGTAATAATTATAATTATTTTCACAGTTGGAAGGAAGCTTGTGCTGGTTTTGTGTTAACAGGTGCCCATGGTTAGGAAAGGTGCATGGGGGGTGTCCCTCTGCTACTTAGGTTGCTGGCAGAAGCCCAGACTCTTCACTGTCATAAACAAAGGGCTTGCATCTCATTTGTCATGTCAGGAATCATCTTTTGGGCTGCCCTGTTTTGGGTGGTTTGGTGTTTCATGCAAGGGATATTGGGAAAAGGTGCCTTTGTGTTGCCATGGGCAAATTTTCAGATTATCAGCATTATAGTGTGGATAGCTCTCTGGGAATGTAGGAATGGTCGCTGCAAATAATAGAATTAGTCTTTGTAAACAACTGCTACAGCTTTTATGCTCCTCGCCTGTCAACAGTGCTCCTATTCTGCTGGTAGATATATTCACTGACTTTCATTATACAATAAGCATAAATATTCCATATAATGCATCCCTTCTCGAATGGACTTAGAGATAGTGGTCCAGCTTGTCCAGAGAACAATGTATAGACTTCTTAACAGTAGACCAGTTCTTGAGCATTCTACAGTGTAAAGCCTTATGGCCAAGGCTCAAGGGCAAGTTTCAGGTGAGGTAGTTCAGCTGCATAATTTAGGTTATAAATAGGAAGACATGAAAGCAAAGAGGGGAAAGTATGAGAGTATAGTTATACCAGTGCTCTTGTATGGGTGTGAGGCATTGGTGGTGAATGTTTCAACAAGGAGAAGGCTGGAGGCATTGGAGATGTCGTGTCTGAGGGTAATGTGTGGTGTGAATATAATGCAGAGGAGTAAGTTCAGGATTACCAAAACTATTATCCAGAGGGCTGAGGAGGGGTTATTGAGATGGTTTGGACATGTAGAGAGGATGGAACAAAATATAATGACTTCAAGAGTGTATAAATCTGTAGTAGAGGGAAGGTGGGGTTGGGGTAAGCCTAGGAAAGGTTGGAGGGAGGG